CTCCTCCTCCTCCTCCTGCTCTTCTTCTATAGTCTGCACAGCGTACCCTTGATCTGTCTTGCTGATGAATGGAAAGGGGAGTTTGCTCACCCCAGTACTTCAATAGCCTGTGAGCACTTTAGGAATTCTGAGGGGGTGGTGAGTGAGCGTCACCCTCAAATCGCTGCCGCAGGAGGTGAACCTAGGGTTGCCAACTCTGGCTTGGGAAATACCCAGAGATTTTGGGGTGGAGCCCGGGGAGGATGGGATTTGGGGAGGGGACGGACTGCCATAGAATCCCTGCTCCAAAGGAGCCATTTCCTCCGTGAGAACTGATCTCTGAGGTCTAGAGATCAGTTGTAATTCTGCAGGATCTCAAGGCCTAGGTGAACCCAAATGCAAAATGGTTGCCTCCTCACACTTAACATAAGAACATCAGAGAAGCCAGTGTTGGATCAGGCCAATGGCCCATCCAGTCCAACACTCTGTGTCACTCAGTGGCCAGAAATACCAGGGGCCATCAGGAGGTCCAGCAGTGGGGCCAGAACTCCAGAAGCCCTCCCACTGTTGCCCCCCCCCCAAAGCACCAAGAATACAGAACATCACCTGCCCCAGACATAAGAACATAAGAGAAGACAATGTTGGATCAGGCCAGTGGCCCATCCAGTCCAACACTCTGTGTCACACAGTGGCCAAAAATACCAGGGGCCATCAGGAGGTCCAGCAGCGGGGCCAGGACACTAGTAGCCCTCCCACTGTTGCCCCTCAAGCACCAGGAATACAGAGCATCACTTGCCCCAGACATAAGAACATAAGAGAAGCCAATGTTGGACCAGGCCAATGGCCCATCCAGTCCAAGACTCTGTGTCACACAGTGGCCAGAAATACCAGGTGCCATCAGGAGGTCCATCAGTGGGGCCAGGACATGGGAAGCCCTCCCACTGTTGCCCCCCCCCAAGCACCAAGAAGGCAGAGCATCCCTTGCCCCAGAGCCCCTAGCTATACCTTGTGGCTAATGGCCACTGATGAACCTCTGCTCCATATGCTTATCCAATTCCCTGTTGAAGCCATCCATGCTTGTAGCTGCCACCACCTCCTGTGGCAGTGAATTCCATGTGTTCATCACTCTTTGGGTGGAGAAGGACTTCCTTTTATCCGTTCTAACCCGACTGCTCAGCAATTTCATGGAGTGCCCACAAGTGCTTGTCTTGTGAGAAAGGGAGAAAAGTACCTCTTTCTCGACCTGCTCTGTCCCAGGCATAATCTTGTAAACCTCGATCACGTCACCCCTCAGCCGTCGTGTCTCCAACCTAAAGAGCCCCCAGCCCTTAAGCCCTTTCTTCATAGGGAAAGTGTTCCAACCCTCTGATCGTTCTAGTTGCCCTTTTCTGCACTTTCCCCAATGCTTTAATATCCTTTTTGAGGTGTGGTGACCAGAACTGCACACAGTACTCCACATGAGGTTGGGTGTAGACTTTCCACTTTCCCGGGGGAGGCTGGGGCTGGGCCAGAGGCATTGCTTTGCTAGGAGCAAGGGTGGCTCCCGGGGGAGGCTGAGCACCTTCCTGAAAATTTCGGCGGGGGCTGAAGCCCCGCCGCCCCCACGAAGATTACGCCTCAGGAGACTCCAGGCGCCTACCAGTCCTCCTCACGCTCTGGTGCAAAACCCTTTGATTTGAACGAGGGCAGCCAGCAGGGCTATTTTGGGGCAGGAACGCACAGGAACGGAGTTCCGGCTGGCTCCCGAGTTGGCCAC